ATCCAGGTATACCTTCCCTCTTTAAATGGAACTATTTCAGTTGACATGTACCTTTTTGAAAACCAACAATAACAAAACATAGCTATGAAAACATTTCAAAGTATGATGTGCAATGCCCAGATAAATCAAAATTTTATTTCCCTTGTATTCCCCCGGTTCCATTTGGGGCCCCACTTCATGGGAAAATATGATTCTTGATTATGCATTTTCACCAAAATAACATTTACTCAGGCAGGAATATTAACTCAGGTAAGCAAAATGACTCTTGCTTTCATCTCAGCAATTCCACACCTACTCACCTTTCAATTGATTTTTAACAGAATTTTACTTTGCATTTAAAAAATCTATTTAATTGCATTGGGAAAGCACTTCACCGCCATGCTTTGGGCTCATACTATGTTGCAGCTGCTCCTATTTAAGGGATAATTGTAGTCTCACTCTTCTACAAGGAACTAATTCTGATTTTGAAAGGATTTGTCCTCACGGTTATTCTGATGAGAGAGAACAGGATCATCACAGTGTAAAAGAGCTGAATAGTACTATTACTGTTATTATGCCTCAAATGGTGTATACAGTTGAAGATCAAAGTACTGTGCCACACTCAATGGTGAGATGTGCATGCATGGCACACTTCCCATATTATGTAAGAAATACTGCATTTTATGAGTCATTTAGTGACATGTGAGGTATATGCGCACCCAGTAGCATTTCTTTCAAACTTTCCTCCCCATTCCGAAATCCTTTATTTTCTGGTTGAAAGACTCACACTCTAGTCATTTCTCACTCATCTCCCCAGGAAATAGACTTCAGTGCTTTCTGTTCCTCTGCTGTACAATATTACTTATTGGACATCATTCTAGTTTACATTTAAATTACTTTAGAAAAAAATGTTAAATAACCCTGGACATCAGTGAGTTCTAGTCAGAAAATTGAGAAAATGTAAAGGTTCCCATCAAAACCATTAACGGTGTTTTTGAAATCTTTAAAATGTGGAGGACTAAGTGTTGAGTAATGTTCTAATAAAACAAACACAGAACTTCTCCCATAATGCCTTTGGGGAGGCAAATCTGCTCACACCCATGTTAGCAATGCAGTTTACAGTATAAGGAGACTTATGAGGGGAGCCATATGAGGGGCCAGATACAGGGCTTTTAAAGTGCAGGGGGATGTCTTCTACTGAAAAGATGCTGAATCATCCAGCCCCAAATCTCTTGTCTTGATAGCCAGAAGAAGTCAGTAAAGGACTGAGTCTTTTTTTTTATTTGTGCAGCACAGCTCAGTGGAAGTTGGGTTTTAATGCCTAGCTGTACACAGGGCCTCTGCATGATGGTTTATTCTGATAGTCTATGTACAGGGGACTTGTACCCTTGAAAAGAAACTGCAGATTCCAAGAAAAAAGGCTGAGCAGGAAGCACCATTTTCTAGCGAACAATTTTTATAACGCTTTCATAAATCACAGATAGGATTTGCTGTCTAGAAGATATTTTCCCAACATAGTACCTTCTTTGTATGTGATTTGAAGAAATTCCTATAAGGTTTAGGGCTTGCACACATAATTGAAAGAATCATTAAACATGAAACATGGTCATTGCAAACATCTGCAAATTTGAAGATACAACAATTCACGAAACTATAATTAAAATTAACGGGTGACACTGAGACAGTAAAATCAAATGCTGGCTGTGTTTTGATTAGGTTTTAGAATGTAATTTATAAAATTATAAAATTAAATGAGACTGAAACTAAATATAAAAATATTCAGATCTGGTTTAAGAATTAATAGGTGTTTGTACAAGTCAGAGTATTGGTCTTAAACACTAATATAAGTAAGGAGAGGCCTTGCTCATGTACACACATTTCCTCTGAGTGTGTGAAGTTCCTAGTCCCGGTGGATGAATTGTAACCTCAAGAATGCATTGTAGATCATGAGTGTTCACTTGGGAAGCCTGTGAGTGGGGAAGCTCTATCTCTAAATGGGCTGGGCAAATGCAGGTGTCCTACAGTGGTGACACTCAATGACATGTGGTGAGGACCAACATCAAAAACAGCCTTGCACATATCATAACTCCATGTCGATGACCCTCTCTCTCCCCGTACCTTTCCATGCTATCCACTTTCCCTTTTCCCTGTCTCCTGTGTTCATTTGCCTTCTCAGCTTCCTCAACACCTCCCAAGTCCCATCATCTCCTGGTTTCCTTTCTAGTTTCACAGCCTGTACACATGCTCATTCTGACTTTTATACATACTTGTGACTATTGTAAACTAGGGTCTACATGACAGAAACCACGTGATTTTTGTCTTCTTGAGTTACTATAATACATTATAGTTCCATCTATTTTACTGAAAATTTCTTGATTTCAGTTTTCCTTTACAGCTGCATAAAATCCAAATGTGTATAAGAGTCACATTTTCATTGTCATTCACCTCTTGATGGATGTCTAAGTAAGACTCCATTTTCTTGCTATGCCCAGTTTTAAGTGGTGTTTTTTTCTTTCCCAAAGCCATATACTGCTTTGTATGACTCTCTGTCTTTTCTTAGTGTTATACAAATAAATGACTAGAGAAATAAATGAGAAACTTAACATGCTATGAAGAGAACTATTTCATTTTTAAAGTAATATTTACTTCAAGTTGTAGCTATTCAAATTATCCTCCAGTGGAACAGAATATTACCCTTCAGTGTATTGCAGAGCTTGGATAAGATGTTATAAAATTGGGGGTATTTTTAATTATTATTTTGAGATGACCATGCTCTGCTGTTGAAATACCTAGTGATTAAAGCACTTTGTTCCCAATAGCTCCAACTCCTTACAGTGCAAAGCACAAGCAGCCCACTGTGACTCCATACACTTCCTGTGAAGGAAGTCAGGTTGCTGATTGTTTGCAGTGGTGAGACACAGGTCCCTAGCATGGGGGTTTCCATAAAGACCGTGGAAAGAAGTGGGTATGACACATCCACTGTGTCCAAGCTACTAGGACCATCATATTAATGTCAATCCAACTGTAAACCTGTCACTTTTTCTGGTGTTCACAGGTCCAAACAGAAGTTGATTATGAATCCTATGTTTATAAAGTTCAAACTTTATATGATGTCATTTGTTGATAATAAATACCTGTTGATGACAGAAAGTTAAGCTTAGATATGTTTCATTTAAACCTAAAAATTTTATTATCCTGGAAGGACACACACAAATCTTAACATCTACATACAATTTTTAAAGTGAATCTTATGAACCACAAAACTTCATGTAAATATTGTAATGAAGACCTTTATTATAAGAAAGACCACACTTTCTAGCTCTTATTTTGTGACTCCAGGATTTAAATATAGAGTCAAATCCTTCCTGTCTTCTTTTTCTCACCTCAACTTCTACCACATTAATCTGGAGGTAAGAAGCTGTGTTCTTGCTCCCTGGAAAAGGAAGACAAAGGCATAAGAGAAAGAGGCTGCCCAGGGTGGAAAGCAATGTCTGTGGAAATGTTCCCAAAGGTGTCTGCCTAGAACAGAGGCCCTAGGATGCTAAATCATCATCCTTACATAGGCTTCTGTAGTTTTTCCAGGTCTTTGACTGGTGCTTGTAATTATGGGATGCAGGGGGTGGGGTTCTGGGAGAAAGCAGTAGAGAGCTAGAGAGTGGCTGGCTGTTCACCATGCTAAAAGAGTATGGGAGCAGCAAGACAGTTTCCATATATTCTTTGGCTCCAGAAACTTGTGGAAACGAGCTTTTGGCTTCTTTGCAGGGTCTTAGGCACCTAAGATGTGTGTCAGCGAGGAACTTACTCTAGAAACCCAACACTACCCACTCCAACTTTGACTTCCTTCACAGGACTTTCTCCAGGGAGTGGAGGGTATCCACTGAACAGTGACCAAGGAACCTAAACTCTGCCAGAAGCAGGGGACACGATAGTGCAAGTTTGGGGGTTAGAAAAGTAAAATGTTGATAATATTCTTATCCCACTGACAGAGAGAAATGGGAAAGGGGTCGTGGATGGTGGGGTGGGAATGGGGCCTCTGAGAGAACTATTGTGAGTCCAGCCATCAAAGAGTCCAGAATTCCAAGAGGCAACTAACAAACCCAAATGTCTGCCTTGTAACTCATGGTGTGCTGATAACTGTTTCCTTGTTTACTCCTCCAAGCATCCCTGGGGTCTTCTTGTGAGTACCCAGGGCAGACTCAGTCTCTGCAAATCCTCCTGTGGGGTATGAAAGCTTGATGGAGAGCCCTCCGAGCATCTTTCCCAGGAACACTGGTCCTTGCCCTGAGATCAAGGAGTCCTTTGGACAGCTGCCCACTCACATCGCATAGAGGTCTTGCTCCCTGCTTCAGAACCCAGAGCAGCACCAGGCAGCCCACACCCCTCCACCTCCCGCCGGGAGTAGAGAGGGTAGTAGCTGAGCTACTCCACTTGGGAGCTAGTGGTGGGGGGCTCAGGGAAAGGGGTGGAGCGGGGGAGGGCGGGGGCGGGGCTGAGGGCTGCTGGGCGGGGTGCGCCACAGCGCCCCCTTGCTGCGCGCTCCCTGCGGTGCCCCAGTCTGCCCGACTCCGACTCTCCAGCCCCTTTGTGTGATTTTATCCACCTCCACAGCACCCACCCGGAGGTGCTGACTGGGATACCGCGGACGCTGCCCCAGGGTCCCGCCACTAGTGCTCGGGCAGTGCTCCCCTCCTCCGCACCCCGCGCTCCTCCCTCGCCCGGTCCCTGGCCCCCAGCAGCAGCCTTCGGACCGCGTCCAGCCGCTATCAGCACCCTGCCCGCTCTGGGGCACTAGTCTCCTCTGGTCCCTATCTTCTCCTGGGTCCCCCCTACTCCCTCATCCCAGGCCTCTAACGTGGAGAAAAACTAAAAGCAGAATAAGAGAGAGTCTCCAATAAAACGCCCAGTACCTCGAGCCCGAGCGCGAGTGCCGGGCGACGAGGGGCGCGGGAGGCGGGGATGGGGTGGCGGGCGGGGGGGACAATGAGCGCGTGAAGTTACCTGCCCGGCAGCGGCGGGGCCGAGAGCGCCGGGGCCCAGCGGACCAGGCAGGCTGCGCGCTCGGCGTGGACGGGTGCGCGCCGCGGCTTCGAGGGGGGAAGAGTTGAGCGCTTTTCCACCCTCTATTTTTTTCCTCTCTTTTTTCTTTTTCTTTTTTTTTCTCCTCTTCTTAAACAAACCACAAACGGATGTGAGGGAAGGAAGGTGTTTCTTTTACTCCTGAGCCCAGACGCCTCTCTCTGTTCCGTCTAAGCTTGTTTTTTGCTGAGCACTTTTTTTATTTTTTCAAAAAGGAAAAGAAAAGGAGTTGCTTGATGTGAGAGTGAAATGGACGTAAGATTTTATCCACCTCCAGCCCAGCCCGCTGCTGCTCCCGCCGCTCCCTGTCTGGGACCTTCTCCCTGCCTGGACCCCTACTATTGCAACAAGGTGAACGCTCTGCTTTTGTCTGCACCGATTCTGGCGGCTCGATCCTGGGAGGGGGGCGGCGGTGGTCGGGCCGCGCTGTGGCCGGCAGGGCGGACTGGGCCGGCTCGGGGAGGCCGGTCCCGGGCGCGCTCGGTCGCAGCCCGCGGCGGCTCTGCGTGCGCTCGGGTAGTAAATATTGTGGAACAGCTTCGGGGGTTTGCCAAACAACGCGATTGTGCGGAAAGTGACACGATTTGCTCGGATTCTTTCCTTCCTGCTGTTCGCCACTAAGGATCCCTGCTTAGGTTTTCCGGGAGACATTAAAAAAAAAAAAAAGAGCGAGCGATCGAGAGAGAAAACACACTGAATACTTTGGGGGGTGTGTCTGGGGTCCGGGAACTGAGGCAGAGTAGGAGAATTCAGTTTATTTTCTAGTTCCTTCTTCTCCCTCCCCTTCTTAGACAGCAGGGGCTCCAGGCATTGCTTCCTTGCTCCGGATCACTTGCCAGAGAAGCAGCCAGGAATCGGGGTACCGGGACCCCTGAGGCTCCGGCGTTCCCGCACCATGAAAATTATTCTATAACTCTTTTGTTTTCTGTTCCGGCAGCAGAGTCGGAGTTCCGACGCTGGCCCTTGTGGCTCAGGGCGCAGTGGGCTAGTCATATTATGATTTGGGGGAACATATCCCGTTTGGGGTGCGCAGAAATAGCAAGTTTACTGGAAGCCAAGGTAGCGTTTCGCGTTTAAGTGTAAAGCTCTGACACTGGTCCCCAGGCTGAAGCTGGGCTGCACCATAGTCGGCTGACCACCAGTGCAAGCGCCACTCGGGACAGGAGGAAAGCATGGTGACCCAAAATAAGGACACTGGCCAAAGCTGCCCGGAGCTCTGTTTGGCCCAAGTATAGGATAGTCAGGGGTTTCTAGGGAAGTCATTACTCTCCTGGCTTCATGAATGCAAAACCCGAGAGGGACATGGAGGAATTGACTCCCAGGAGAATTCACAGACCGTGGTTGTCCTCTCCTGGGTCTTGTTGGAGGCATAAATAGTTGTGGCCAGCAGAGGTTAGTAGGTAGAGTTCTCTGAAAAATGTGGCGGGCCTTTTGGACTCTTGGTTCTGGTTTGAACCCACCACCCACTCCCAGTCCCTTCAGTCACTTCTCACCGACCTTTTCCACTGGAAAAGTCGTTTGGACTCCCAACATTTGTTTTCTGAGGAGTCATCAAGTCATCACTTTAGCATGTTATGTAGAGGTGTTCAGTGGGCTACACCCCTGACCCCTGGTCATTGCGCGCGCGCGCGCGCGCACACACACACACACACACACACACACACACACACACACACACACACACTGAGTTAAGCAGACATCACCCGTGGAGAAGCAACTGGGTGCCTTGTCCACTTTAATACTCAATAAAAGAGGTGTGTGCGAAGGAGATTAGGAGTTAGGAAAGCTGGTGAAATAGAAAGATTCCCACATATAGAGAGTCCTTGAGCCAGAGACAACTTGGAAGGTACGGGGAACTTTAGGAAACACAGAGGAGTTTGTGCGATGAAGTTTTACTATTTGCTGGTAACACCATTCTTACAGCCTAAAATCTATTCTGACTTTAAAACCCAGGTTTTTGTGCTTGTTACTTTTAATTTCCCTTCATAACAAGAATACTGTTGCTTTTTTCTTTAAAGTAGGCAGTCTGTCTTGGAGATTAAAGACCTGTTCTGTAGTTGCTACCAGAATAAAAAACTCAGCACCCTTTTTTGGCAATAAAACTATACAAGCTTATTACATTTACCAGTGAGTTTAGGCTCCAAAAAAGAAGGTAATGACTTGAATACACATTTCACTCGTCATTCTTGTGAAAGTAGGGTCAGATTTAATTTAAAAGTTAAATGCTTTGGAAAATCAGGAATTACTTCAATATATTAAATCATTTCCCAATTAAGTGCCTTAAATAATTTTAGAGGGTTGGTGCTGTGAGTTGAATAAATTAATTTTGAAAGTCTTCACCATTTCTTTGCTAGCTCATTGAAGTTCCTTTTAAGTCACCCTGTGTGTAAGAAGCAACTGTTCTTTTTAAATGCAAATTAGCCATCCTTTCTATAGACTAGCTGCAAGTCTTCTATTTAACTTACACAGGGAATAATGGATTTTTAAAAATGCAAAGTCATAAGACTTGTTTCTTCCAGGAGAAAAAGACCTCATGGAAATGTTTCTCCAGGGACTCTTCTCCTGCCCATCCCTATGTCACAGTCTATCAAATATATTTGTCACTGATCCCTGATTGTATTAAATGTACTGAGAAGGTTTGAAGGTCCCACAAAGCCCAGGCACTTGTTTCCTACTCCATCGTGATTTACACTGGTATAAAATTCCTGCCTCAACCCACTGTTTGAACTACTTGGGACTGAGTCAATTAGTGCTCATTTTGCAGTGACCTGCAGAGATGTGAAAAAGGGAAGAAGTTTGGAAAGGTGGAAAATGAAAGCTTTACATATATTTAGCAATACCCAAGTTGGATCAGACTTCCTATATAGACGAGATTCCAAAGTCATCCTGTTCTCATTCTGAGATGGAATGAATTATAGTTTATTAGAAATAACAGTCACTTTGTTAGGTTATTTGTATTTAACAGGTTGATAAGATCATAAATTACTAATTATCTTTATTTAAACCTGTCAACACTGTACTGTTTAAAGTTGGTGTGCTAAGTCCCAGTGGAACCATAACTTTCTGTGCTTTGGTATCTTACAGCTGTAAATATAGTTTTCTGGTGGCATTTTTTTCTCAATGTCAGAAGAGACCCTAATTGAGAAAATGAATATCCTCTTTCTGAGCTTTTCTGAATTGAAATGTGGCTGTTTTACTTCGCTGACACTTCCCAGCCCCACTGCTCTGTACATTGCCAAAACACTGTTTAGATTTTTCAGTTATTAAACTCTGTAGGAGGCACATTTGGAAGCAGTTTAACCCAGTGCTCTTTTGTAAGAGCACGGTGCATGATGAGCATATCACAGTGCAAGCTGGCCTTCACGTTCATGCAGCCTATTGGGGGAACAAGGCAAATGATGTTGGTTACAGCAAGGGAGTGAGGTATCCTTTCCCTTATACAAACCGCACAACAGTGGCGTGGTGCACGCTCTATGTAGGTCAGCTTTTGAAAGAGCAGTGGAGCTCAAGACTGGCCAGAAGCATGTAAGCTGGGGGAAACAGCCTCACTTCTTGCAGCTGAAAGCATAGTTGTATTGTAGACTCTGAAAGATGGGTACCAGAGCAGAGTTTCATCTAATTAGACTATTTTAAGTAACAGTGTATCCCTTAATTGAACTGAATGTTACCAAAAGAAATTAGATTAAATGAGCTCCCAATTGGAGTTCAGTAGCAAAATATAGTCCTACTTTTTTTTTGTTCTAGTTGAAGATGTCAAATCATCAGTTTGAACGTATACCTACAGAGTAATAACAGCTTTCAGTTTCTTAGTGCAGTGTCATTTCTAAAGACTGTTTTCACTGATTTTATGCTAAAATGGGACAAAGACATGGCACTTTTTTCATTTTTGCAATGATGTGGTGCATTCAGTTATTGCTCAGTATCTGCCCACACATAAGGAGTAGTAATGCAATTATGTTATTGCTTGGCTAATGATAGGGATGCTGACCTCGGCCAGCAGTCGGAGGGGAATCATAGGTTTACTGTTCACAGAAGCTGCTTTTATGGGCTCATGTTCTGAGTCTACCATTGGTGGATTTCAAAACTGGGAACTCTACACAAAAACCTAGGCTTAATACTAGTTACATACATAGAATGGTTGCCATTTGGAATTCTGTGCTTTTGATTGCAATGAAAATGGGAAGTGAATATTCTTTCCATGTAGATTCAACGGAGGGATTATTTGTGGACAGATGTTACACCTGTGATAACTTTTGAGCAAAACAATATTAATCATAGTCTATGTGAAATCTTCTTTAGATTTATTTTCCTTCTTATATTGTATTATGTGTTAACTTTAATGTGACAGACCACACCATGCCTAAATAGAGACTTCCAAGCACACTGAGATGAAGCCATTACTCCTATCTTGATGAATAAATGTAAGAAAGAGGAAGCTGGAAGGAAGAGAAACAGGACTGAAGAGGATAGAAGGGGAAGAAGAGATGTTTGTAGGCGATTTAGAGCATCATAATTCATTAGCCTTGTCCATAAGTACTAGAATTCTATCACTATATACCTGCACATATATTCATACTCTGTACACAATTTGCATAATCAAGGCTTCCTTGGGAGTTGTGTATGCTGGACCCTTCTACAAGGTGATGAGTTTATAGACAAGAGAAAGCATAAACCAAGAAACCATACAGTTTGGGACACTAAATCTGATAGCATACCAAAACTTTTAAATTTAGCTGTCTTGACTTTGTGAGATATTTTAGTGTCACCAATTCAAGTTTTTAAATGTGCCAAAATTATATTTATGAGGTCTGCAGAGGCATTATTTTTCACACAGCATATGTGGCTTATTATTCTGAAAATGTATTGTATATTTTGACAGTTACTGGATGATAATACTAAGAAGACTTGATAGTTTGCTTAGGTATAAAATCTAAAGTAATATTTAATATCTACTTGAATATGTAGTGTAGAGTTGAAATTATTTTTGTGCTGTTTTTGCAAAGAGGTTAAGAACAAGACAACAGTAAAAGCCAGAGGAAATAGGGAAATTGATTCCAGTTTTGTGTATGACTGTTTGTAGTCTTTTCACACTATTTTATACACGTGATTGGCTGAAGTTAGATGGGATAGCCTAGGATACTGGAGGAAAGGGATGTGTGCTTGGGTCCCTGGGCATTTTATTGCCTGCCACCCAGCCCCTCTCCATTGCCTTCACTCCTTGAACAACCTATTCTGGATACTGTCCTGCCCATTGTTATCTCAGCTCCTACGAGTTGTGCTGTCTATTCTCAGCCCTCCTCCTTTGCAGGTCTTTGACTGATGGTTGTGGCTGCCTCATCCCCCTTCATCAT